TCTTGTAGATAATAAATTAGTAAGGGTATTCTTGTAAATAGTTTGTTAGGTTTGCACTCCTATAAATACTAGTTGGTCACTCATAATATGATGACTAGATATTTTCCTCCTAAAATACCTGTTCTCAATTATTGGTTCATCCAAAATGTTATGACAACCTATGACCATCAACATTCCTCAGAATAATAGATAAAATAAATATTATGAAAAGAAACTTACTGCATAGCATACTGCAAAAATCTCAGACTGCGTCAAATGCCAATCCGTTGATTCACTTGTTGTAAAGAATGCTGTTACAACCATGAATAAAGCACCAAATGCATAGGAAAATGCCGTAACTGAAATGCTTGCAGGATATCTTGCCAAAACTGGAGCCTGCAAAGTATCCGAAAAGGTTTTCCAAATGAGAAAGAAAAACAAGAAGCGCAGTCAGATAGTTCAAGATTTCAGAAATTTATCAGGCTTGATGGGAAAATGCTTAAGTATTACATAGAATCCTACCAAATAGTAAGGTGATGAGATTTAGGCCTCAAAGCAAATCATTCTATCACATACAAGGCCAACTTGCCTACTAGATATCCTTCCATAGTCTCTCATATTGCACCAATTTACTTCTGATGGTCAAGCAACTTACAGAAGTGGCACCACATGCTACTTTTCCTAACTTTCTCACTTCTCTTAGTGCAGAAATCTGCATTTGGGCCCAATGAAAACATGCAAACTTGTTCAAAAGTTCAGATTAAACTATACATAAGATAACTTACCCAAAGAAAACCACAAGAATATATTCCCAAGTGAACCCTAAATCTCGCCAAAGTATTTCTGTTATAGACTCCATCCCAAATGCATGCGTGTATAAACTGAAAGACTAATTATCAGTAGCAATTCTTGTAAAACAGGAATGTAGTCCTGTAGTTTAGACTGCTTTAGCACATCTCCATTCACCTGCAATAGGTTATGCACAAATTACCTACACTAGCACTATCTAAACCATTGTAGTTTCTTATATTTCAAATTTCCTTTTCTAGGCTTCTGGATTTATTTTCAACCGTTTGGTGAATATGAACCAAGAACCAAGTCATTTTCCACTACAGGTCAGTATCAGCCCTACAAAAGGCAGAAGGATATTCTTTGGACAGTGTCCATTTTTGTAGACATGTCCTGAACCATGCTAATTTATCCACACACCCCCCCCCCCCAAAAAAAAAACTAAAAAAGTATCCTTTAAATGTCAAGAACAAGTAAATTCAAAACCATTGTCTCAAAAAGAGATAATAATCAAGTACCTGAATGGCCAGGAAAGCTGCCATGCACATACAATTTCCAATCAAGCACAGAACACCCAAATGCCAGTGGTCAATCCCATAGTCCAAAAAACTGGACATCAGCCAACCAACAGGCTCTGGTTGGCCTTTGGCACTAATTTCATTTTGTACTGTAAACTCTGATTCCTTAGATCCAAAAACAACAGGGCCACGGAACATAGCCATTACAATGGCACCAGAAACACAAACAATAGTGCCACCAACCTTAGCTTGACCTTCAGTTCTAAGCAAATTCACCGTTTCTGTACTGCACAAACAACATGAAGATGAGACAAAGATACAGAAACTAGTATAAACAAGGGAATAGATCTTGCATCAACACAGACACAAGTACACACAAAACATTAAGATCAGATTGTGAATAGACAAGACGGACCCCATCATGACAGCTAATATAAATGTGAAGACTGGAATAGCAGGCTGGATAGCTGCTGCATATGTTGGATTAGTGTATCCAAGGCCAATAAGAAACAAAAGTTGATTCCCAAAAATCCTGTAAAAATTGAAAGACTATTAAACATTGGCCACATTTGCCTATAGGGACCAAGAAATGAAAAAAAAAAAACAAGGTCAAAACATTAAACTTACCCGGTTAATCCAAGGAAAAAGAATGACAGTAGTAAACGTTTGTTCAAAGGAGGTCTAACTCTTCTGCAATTAAATTACCAATGGAAAATCAATCTCATGACACAGCACTGTAACAAGTTACAAATAAAAAGAACCATTGTTTGGAGAGAATAATGCACCACGATGAATAAAATCAAAACTTGGAAGTGCACAACTAATTAAAAAGAGAATTAAAGCTCTTTTTCTGTCAATACTGCATAATATGCCAGCCAAACTAATGAAACAGTAGTGCATGCCTTCAGGTTTTCACCGAAACAACAAGTGCAATAACCAATATAGAAAAAATCCACTAGAGAGCATATAAATAAAACCTCATATCTCAGTTGAAGACACTTCCGTATAACTCTTGAACTCCAGGTCTCAGAAGCTATACAAACAAGGGACTAGAGGACATGTTAAGCAATTCAGCTCAGAAACAATAGCATAACCATATAATTAAACTAAATTTCTGAACTACAAAAAGAATATGTCAAAGGTCTTTTAATAGATTTTCTTGACAACTCTCACCAGTTCTGACAACTAACACTGAAGGATCAATATCTAAACATAGCTGAAAACAGACAACCAATCTTTCTAATTAAGATGCTCATGCTTATGTCCATACAATCTGAAGAGTTCATTGTTACAAGACACTCAACAGGGACATACAACAGAAAGACTACAGAAAAGAAATTTTTTTTCCCTCTCTTTTGTTGGAATTTTATTTGCTCTCACTGCATAATAGCTTTCTTTTGCCCCCAACCCTCTTTAAAAACGTAGACTTCCATTCATAAACAAGTTCTTGTTATTTCCTTCCAAAATCATCCTCTTCAAGTCCTTGAGTTGACAGGGAACAACCTTTTAAGTTTGCCCATTAGTAATGATATGAAGTTATCAATCTTCACATGAACTGACATTCTCAGCAATCAGAGAGCTTATGTTTCACCCTACTGATCTATTTTAACCGACAATAAAAATCGCACTTGACCGAATATAACTATTTATCATGATCCTTCACCATAAGGTTTTCCAACCGCATCTTTATTAGTTATCTGTAGCCGTTTTATATCTCACCTCTTCTAATAATTCCTCAAATCCACGTCTTATCTACCAATCCACCGTATTTTATCTAAACATTTCCAGATACTGTTTGTCTTATATGTCCTTATGCATGTTCATGTTGTCGATCCGTCCATAGAATTCCATACCTAGTTTTCGACACTCCCAAGTTCTTTTATATATGTCTCTGTTAAATCTATAAATATCTATCCTTGACTACAAAAAAGCCTCTCTTTACACCTATCTTTATACTAATCATCCAAGAATTTTCTCCTCCCTAAATCATATACCTCCAATCCAAATATAAACCAGTAGAAAAATAAATTACATCTCGCATAATTTCAAGAAACAGAAAGCAAAAGCAAACAATTGAAAATACAGGAAAAAGGGACTGACTTTTCACGAACATAGGCGACTGGGGCGAGTATACAGAGACCAAGAAGGTCTCTAAACACACAGAAAACGATCTGATTGACTCCCACATTAAGAGCTACTTTAGTAATCACATGGTACCCTCCATTGAAGACCTGAACCAAAGCCAATGCCAGATGGGCTCTCCAAGCTTCATTGTTGTTAGCGTTATTAATAGGACCAGCACTAACTCCTGGTAATACTGCTGCCATCTTCAACACCATATAAACCCTCCTCCGCTCTTCCCTCTACCGTTAACACATGAAAAAGAATTATCCACTGATTAATCGGAAATTTTGAGAAAAGGGATGATAGGTGGTAGCAAATGAGAAGATGGGTGGTCCTTGGATTGGAGTTTTAAGTCAGCAAAACAGAGGATTTGTGGAAGGTGGGATTGTTGTCTCTTTGTGTGTGTACTGCGTGTACAGTTTGTTAACGTTGTTTTCAAGATGTGTTGTGGGGTTTGAAGGTGAGGCATAGGGAGCATTTCGGGTCACAAAATGCTTACAAGTGAAGACAAGTGTCACGTTATGCCAAAGGAAAGAATGCACAGAAAATGCGGCACTGAGTATCTTTTTTCAAGTGCAATGAATCGTGTGATTTGCAGATTTATTACACAGGTAATGTAAGTTGATGATCATATTGGGGCAATTAGAAGATGAGAAAATTTTGGGGTTTTGGAGAAAATATTAGGTGCAGTAATTACAGTGGATTTAATTTATATTTCCTACTCATTATTACAAGTATTTACAAACTAAATTTTCCATTATATAGTGAATCTTTTTTTCATATGATTGGTTTGTTGCATTAAAAAAAATAATCATTAGGTGACGCAGGTATATTGTACTGTCAATTTCTTTCACAAGTGACTTGTTGCATGAGAAAGTATGGAGTAAATGATGCACCTAATCTTAGTTTGTAAGAGAATATTACAGTGGAATGGTTACTCCAAATTTAATCACATCATTTACTTATTCACCTGCATCGAGAGCTAGAGAATACATCGAGTTTATAATGATGAATCATAGATAAAACACAAAAAAAGAGTTGAGAAATACTTTGATGCCTTGTTTCATTTTAATTTATTTTTGTTGAGTCGAAGGATTTAAAGCACTAATTCAAATGCAAGGATTTGAATTAGTCTATCATAATGAAAATATGTGATAAGATAACAGTTTCTAAAAATTTACCTTGAAAATAGGAAGATTGGGAATGAGGCAATGAGGAGATGGACCAATTGGCTGAAGAAAAAGAAAAATTGGCAAGGAAGATAGAAATTAAATCTGTGCAAGTCGTCACGTAGTTAGGTAGGACCGAGAAACTAAAAGTTGGATAAGAATCAGGAGAATGTTTTGTCATATAGTAACATGATATGCTACGATGATACGGCAATGAGAGGAAGTAGTTCACGAGAAATGTATTTCAATGGTCCTGAGTTTTGAAGGTGTACAGTAATTGTTTATAACAATTTTATAAAAATAAAAATCTTTAAGATAAGATTAATTGTTTTTGAAAGTTATTTTGATAGCAAAGAGATAATCCTTAAAAATATAATAGTTGCAGCTGTTTCTTTAGGAGATCCTTTGGAAGGCCAGCCTGTCTCGGTCACCATCATTTTAATGGTTCTGAAATTGAAAGCCATCAAAGCGAAGTAAATAGCATCAATCTTTGGGCATCAAACATATTTGTGTAAACCAAACCAGTATTTGGGTCGATTACTTCAGACGATGGCTCAAATAGAGCATAGTCCAGGGAAACGTTGCTAGAGGAATGAATCCCTGTAGGCATAGCAAGGGTATGTATCAACCATGAAAGGTGACTGATTCTCAGCAAGAAATTCCAGCAAGGGTCAAAGAAAGATTGCATAGCTACCATTGAAAGCCCCTGCTGAAGGTGGATATGACTGGGACAAAACACCCAAAGAATGAGTAGTGGAAACTTTGATTTTCTTGTGAAGACCAGCCTCTCTCAGAGCAGTTAAAACATTCTGCATAGCAGGTACTTCCATCGCAGAGACATTATTGGGAACCTTAGTGACTTCAGCACCAACTGTTATGTGTGTGATCTTTGTGGCTGGATAATATGGAAGATGACAAGTCTGAATTTGGAATACCAATCACCAGCTCAATTCCAATATTTGCAAAGGCCTTCAGAACTTGGATGTTAGAGTCATAAATCCTCACATACTAAATGAAATCAATTGTACAGCTTTATCTGGTGTGGGAACATCATCAGCATTTCTTCCATAGCAAACTCCAATTTTGCTCCGATGGCACACTCCTGTCAAATTTTGTTTGTGACGTCTCAGTAGAAAAAGAAAAATAACATTTAATCTGACTTACTTCTTGAATACTGGAGCAGACAAAGAAAGAAAAAGTAAAAAAAGGAGTCCACAATCATTCATGTGCTTTCCAAACATCTTAACAATCAGAAATTTGCATCGGCATCAGCGCATGTACTTTGAAGCCAAGCTCCAGTAAACTGCTTTAAGACCAAGTGTCATTGAGGTAGTGACTGTGATCTACTGACAAATGCATGGACTAATACAAGACACGTACACCAATATCCAAGAATCATTGTTTGCATCTCAATAGTCTCTTACACTGCATTTGTTCGAAGGAGAACATTAATTTCCCCCATCATCTAGGCACATCAACTACTCTAGCGCAGAATTCAGGAATTCAGGTGGTACCACCCACAAAAGGGCTATTAAGGCAATAAAATAACACCAAAAGAAACAATAGAAGTGTTTTGTATTGCTCGTCATAGAAAATAAACCACATAAAACCCAGCAGACAAATTAGCAAAGACATCGTATGATACCTTCGAAAGTACACGAAAGCACTTCCTACAGATGTAAAGATAAACCACATAAAACCCTGCAGACAAATTAGACATGTCCAGGTTTTGAATGATTAATTTTCTTAGATGCTCACACTTCAAATTGTGCTGTGCATTAAATAATGTCATAGTCTCTTCAAATTCAAATAAAGTTCAACCAACACGGAATGGAGACCAACATAAACAAGCCAAAAGAAATTTAAAAAATAGTTGTGCTTAAAGTAAAAAAGCTCAAACCTGGCTTAATTGATGAAGATAAGCAAATACAGTCATGAAAAGCAAGAAAAGCTGAAACTTAAATTTAAAATCCCAAGGCTGAAAAAGATCTGATGAAAATTTTGATGGCAGAAACTTTCATAGTTAAACAAAACCATCAATTGAATGATGAGTGGCACTATCGGCATGACTGGAAAGCAAAAACAATCAAAAGTGCTTTAAGCAACACTGGAACAACATAACTGAGAAACACAGTTTTTGGACATTATAACTCTAAGACTCCAATTAGCACAATCTAATCTGCATTCAGGAACCAAAAACCAAAAAAAGGTACCAACTACCTTTTAGCAGTTTGATTTTCATCTTATGAACATTGGATTATGTGATAGCTGCATACTGTCAATTAGATTTCTTGAAGATAATGAAACGTAATTTAATAAGCTAATCCCTCTTTTTCCCTTAAAATCTTACCTTCATTCCCAATGGAGAAACAAAAGAAATAACGCAATTCTACCAATCAGACAATCAGCAAAACAAATCAAAAGAAGAAGAAAAGAAGCAAATTTCTTTTTTGTCATTTTGAGCTCAGGTTAAAACCAATTAAGATGAAAGGACACATGAGAGAAGACTTAAGGTTTTAGCATAATTTAACACATTAGATTAGGTGCATTTGAGTACATTAACTAATTAGTGAACATCATCTTCCGGTCCATAAAATGGAAAGGTCAATGGAAATGAAGGGATCAGTACTTTCCTTTTAAAACGAGCAAAATATTTGTTATAGAGCATCGCAGAGCAGGTGTTTTGAGTCCGTTTGCAAAAGAAATTTGCAGGCAATCAAACAACAGTGTTAGATAGATAGATAGATATGGAGGGAGGGAGAATTTAGGGATGTCAAACTTAAAAATTGAAAATAGGCTTAGAACAAACTTCAGAAACTATTACCCTACTAATACTTATTCTTTTCAGCTAAAAATTGAATCAAAATCATTAAATACATCACAGCTGAACTGTGTATCTTGAATGATGACCAAAAAACTAAAGAAAGACAACTACGCAGACACGGAGAGAGCTATTGGCATCTATGTAGACCAAATTGTAGGTTCTGGCAAGAAGGGAGGACATATCTGATATTATTGAGTACATATTACTCTTATACCTGTCTATTTCTCTAACCTTTTAATCTTCGCATATAAAAAATTTCAAAACGTATTATCTATACTACTACTCTGTAAACGAAGAGAAACACAAGCTTGTCAACTATAAACTGCAAAGGCTTTAAAAGAATTGAATAAAATTCTACCACCAGCAAAATTTAACATAAACTGAACAAAGGGGTCATAAAGAAAACAGAAACTCACATACCGCTGGTTAATCAGATTTAGTTTAAAAAAGAAAACAACTATTTCCAACTAACTAATATTCACAACAAGTGAATACTGTCAATGATCAGGATTAGGCATGCCAAAAAAAATTGCAAGTCTTTTCTGATTGGAAAGGAAGACATACATGCGGTCAAACAACCACCTAGCTCATTTGCCTGTTAGCAGCCTGTTTCAGCTTAGCAAGGACCAATTCTTCAAATTTGCTATGATCGGCAGGTTCTGGTTGTGGAGGTGGAGGAGGAGGGGAGGAATCCAGTGGCTGAACCAACAAAGGATTTGACACATCACCGAGCACACTCCAACAGGCAGCAACAGCTGAATCCTTGTACGCCATCACTACTAGAGCTGAACAACCCCCATTCCCATTCTTCTTCTTCTTGCTGACCAAAACCTCCTCAACTTCCCCAAATTTCTCAAACAACATCCGCAACCTATCCGCCGTGTAAGCACCATAAGAATTAGGGTTACAGCTATTCTCCCAAGACACTCTCAGTACCCTAGCCCTATCCAAAGGAGGTTTTTTAGTGGCCGCCATCATCTCACGAATTTTCGCAATCTCACCCTTCAGTTTCTCAGCAATCCTACTCTCCTCCGCCCTCCGAAAAAGTTCCTCATCAGAACAATGGCGCTCTCGGACCTGCAAATCAGCCATCATCTTCTGGCGCTTGGGATCGTTCTTCACATTCTCCGATCGTGGCCGCCTCCGGCAGCAGCGGCTCAACAGGAGAGTGTCGAACTGGCGCCGAGCCTCGACATCCTTGAGAACCAAGTAACATTCCTTGAGTTTCTGAAAATCTGAACGCGCGGCCGCCGGATCATCATCGGGTCGTTTGTCGGGATGGAGAAGCAAGGCCTTGGACTTGTACGCCTTCTTGATCTCTTTCTCCGACAACCTAGTTCCGGCTTCTCCGGTCGGAAGCCCTAATACAAGATAGTGGTCTACGAACTCCATGCCGCTGGCCCGAATAGCCAGTTTGGAATAATAATACCTAATAGCTCTCACAGATTAGTACCCTCTCAAGCATACCTTAATTACTGATTTTAATCAGCCCCATCTTTAGGAAGTAGAATTCCTTGAGTGCGTTTGGACAGTGGATTATTTGGAATAATTGTGCAAATATTTATTTGTTGACTTTTTGAAAAGTATGGGTGAAAGATAATCATTTGGATAACATGAGTATATTTCAAATAGGTGTTTGGGGCACTTTAACAATTATTTGTCGAATTTATTCCAAATAAGTGTTTGGATAGCTTAACAATTATTTAAGTGCAATGGGAAACTCATTCCATTCACTTTGGAGCACATTAAGTAAATTGTTTATAAATAAACTTTCAATTTTGGATAAAAGCAGATTAATCCAATACAAATCACACACATCTTATCGAATATTACATGGAACATCCGAAACTTCTATACGATTTGAGGGGAAGTCTAATTGATACATCATAGTAGAAGGAATGGAAGTTTATTCGTTATACCCTCAATAAAAGCTTGGCAACCATTCGTCCCTTGCAAAAAGCAGAAATGCAACTGAGCAGCCCCGGTGCAGCCATTATTTAGGATTATGCCAGTCCAAATTATGCCCCTAACTTTCTAACGCCTTCTCCTACGTTGCGCGCCATACATTTCAGTTGCAATCGCATCTCGCCTAGCTTTCCAAGCCATAACCTCAGCTTGGGATGCATTCAATGGCTGCACGTGAGGTAACTCACCGCCACCCTGTTGGTGCTCTAATCCAACATTGCCGTCCTCAGCCAGTTGAAAATGGGCGTCGCCTGGTTGGTGTAAGTGAAGAAAGTTGTGCAATACACAACAAGCTATAACAACATTGACTTGAGTGGTCATATAAAAATTTGGAACCGGTCCTTTCAAAAATTTAAATCTGTTCTTCAGAACTCCAAAGGTTCGTTCAATGACATTTCTAAGTTCCGAGTGGCGCGTATTAAATGAAATTTTTTCTGGACCGGCCCGTGCTGCATTCTTATACGGCGGTAAGAAGCCTAGAACATTCTTATATGCAGCATCTACAAGGTAGTATTTACCTTAAATCGAAAAACGATAGGTGTCAGTTTTATGATGGCAGTTTACCTTTTATGAAAGCTTTATAATACTAGATGTTGACCAATAAAGTACCACTAAAAAATATACTACCTTGTTTAAAATCCAGCTAATTTAAATAGAACAAACACAGATTTATAATTTAAAAAATTAGCATCTTACTGAAATATCTGGAATTTTTTTAAAGTACTCAAATTACCTTTCAAAAATGCTATATTCGTAAGTAGTTGTTAATAGCACAAGCCAAACAAATAAATCCACTATTTTATGGACTTATGTGTGACAAAAGTGTAGTAAATGATTTATATACACCATCCAAAAAGTAGCATATACTTAAATAGGTGCAGCAGATATAATACAAGAGAGTTACCTTCAGGTGCCATTGGGAAGCCTGACGGTGCCATTGGGAAGTTTAACACTCGGGCATCGTGTGCACTTCCCTCCCACCCAACATATATGTACGTGAATCGCATATCGAAATCACATACTGCCAGTAGATTTTGCGACTGAAATCCATGTCGATTTGTATATGCCATTTGGTGACCTAAGGGCGGACACGCCGGAATGTGAGTGCCATCAATTGCTCCCACTGCATCCTGCATTTCCCAACAAGATAAAATTTTAATTTCTCTCTTACAAATACGTTGTGAGTTTTGAGATGGAAGATCACTGCCAAAATTTGTCATTTTGAATTAGATCATTCACAGCCTAACCTTGAACCATAGGAAGTATTTTGTCGAATTCCCGATCCTTGGATGCACCTGATCGTAGTCAAAAGAGCGAATTATTTGTGAAGCAAACATACAAAGACCGCGCAGGACCTCCCTTACATTACCGTTAATTATCTCCGTTGATCTATTGAAACGTTCTGCCAAAACTCGTTGTCGGGCACTATGACTTACCATTACCAAAGCCATGGCCAGTGCCTCCTCGATTTCCACTCGGTTTTGATAGTTTTGAGGTACGTAATTATTGTACTTTAGTATGTCACAAAGTAGGAGGAAATTGTCAACCGAAATACGACAATTTTCGATAATTCGTTTGCAGCGACCATTGATCAGCTCCTCAACCCATTGACGCCCTGTGAGTGAGCCATCATGGTGTGGAATTTTGAGTTTCAGACCTCCATACCTTTCTGCCTCCGGATGTAGAAGTATCAACTCAGCTGCAAGTACAAGTAGCAAGGCATCCTGGTCGTCATCTGATGCTTCGTCATTGCTTGAACTACTATTTCGGAAGCGATTCATATCCCCTGGAGTAAATACACAGCAAGAGAGTATATAGTTACACCAAGTGGGCTTTGTCCTTTGAATATTACAACAAGGGAGTTAAGCAAGAACTGAACAAGGGAGCTTTTATTTAAAAAAAACTGAGAGCCGATACTTAAACCTTCTACTCACGGGGCGTTCTGTTATGTCGTTCGACGAACGGGAGCTTTGTCTTCGAAGCAGTGCTTCTTGCTGCTTTCCCCCAAAGTAGAGAATTGTAATATGTGATATGCATAGACACGGGCTCTTGTTAACATATAGAGCTCTGGAGACTTGCTATCTTTTCAAAGCACAGGCGCATTATTGTTCTTCTACTCGGGCCCTTGTTGACAGAATAGGCCACCGTTCCAGAAATGCATGTTCCAACTTGTGGCCGTCGGTGTCATTCCTTTGGACAACTGTTTCACATGCCACGCCTTACCAGATATGACCACTCCCACCAGGCTACTTTTACTATCGTGACTACATCACATAATATAGAATTTTGTAGAATGGACAAAACACTAGTACTTTACATGCGTGCACTCAAGGTTTGTTAAGAACCTTGAGTGCTTTAAGAAAAAAGACAAACTAATGTACATTGTCATTTTAAGTTGAGGTTCGTACCTTGAGTGCTTTAAGAAAAAAGACAAACTAATGTACATTGCCATTTTAAGTTAAAATATTGAAGGTATGGGACTTTTGGTGCAATTGTACGATATCTAGCCTTGAAATGTCCTAACACTTGCAACCGTACTATTGGGATTACACAAATCCTTCCCATGTCCCCTTTATAAAGACCAAGCAAACATAAGCCACGTGATTATTTATTTACCAATTTCACAATTCACTCAAGCACCTACACTAATACACAACAAGTGGCCGTTCATTAAGGCCGAAAAACCTGTACAATTAATTGGTGGCTAGAAGCCCGATGCCACCCATTTATAATAGCTCAACAAGCTATCGGCAGTACTAAAGCCACCCCATAAGTACACTCAATTGTAAATACATAATAGGATAGTCCAGTGCCACCCATTAATTCTACAATGACAGCATTTTGAATAACCAAATAAATACACTCAACATACACTCATTCAAGAAAGTACACTCAATTGTTTTTAACAAATGCTACATCTGAAGACACAAGTCTAGGAATTGCAGTCCAGAACACACAATAAAGAAGCAACCGATACAGAAGCTAAGTAAAGTTCAGCCACTATTCCAGAAATTTCAACCAAACAAAGGAAATTGACACAAGCAAACAAAGGAAATTGACAGAAGCCGTTGTGCACAGATCTGATGCTTCACTGTGGGGGCTTGCCATAGCGAAACTCCTCCATAATGAGTTCAATGTAATCATTGCGCTCGGCATCATCAAAGCATACGAATGCACATCTTTGTCCCGCATTTCTTCTTTCGGCATAGTACATTGTCACTTTCAGCTTAACCAATTTTAGAAGTTGCATATTTTTCACCATGTTTTGAACTACCGGTACACTGTATTGTGCTTCCTCTTCATACCGACTTTGATTAAATTCATGCGAAGCGGTGGTGACACGAGAGATTTTGCTGATTGCATCATCTAGTCTTTCCCTATCACTAGATGATTTTGTTGATTTAGCACCTCTAGATCCTTCACGATCTCCGGGAGTGCCAAGACTTGAGGCAGGACACTTTCCAGATGACGCTCCAGGTACCGGAGGTACGTAGTATACGTCCTTTCCCTCCCAAGGGTATTGCTAGTAGCCAGAGGCAGCTGAGCTTGAGGTTGCAGCCTTTCCTTTGCTCTTTTATGGCTTTCCAACAACTGGCCGTCGGTGTTCGCCCTCGAGGACAGGTTGCTTTGCAGATTGTGCATAGCTGCCTGTTGCAGTTTTTCCCAATGTTGTTGGAGTATACAGATCATATAGGAAGCAACTTCTAGCCAATTTGAAGTCTTTGTACTCTTTGTTCACCTAGACAATACAAAACAAAAAAGTTAGTTCTCCTCCAACATTTAAATTTATGAGAAGTAGGAGGAATGTACGCCCATGTAATATGATAGAAACTTTCTCAAATAATATGCTTATGTAAAAAAAAGGGCAACGATACAACACGCTGAAACTGGTTGGTGAACGCAGCAAACCTGGTTTGATTATTAACTGCCATCATCTAAAAATTGATTAAGTGTTTTGGTATACACTTCGGCTCAAGACTAGTTTGCATAGCTATTAGTATGGCAGCAAGTTGGGCACAAAAAAAAAAGAAAGGATAAGCAGCAGGTATTTCAATAGTCGCTTACCGCTTCCATTTGGACCCAGTGCTCGTCGGAAGCCGTAAAGCAGTTATTCTCTTCATCCCAGCCAATCCCAGTCTCCGCTTTCGATGACAAACCACGAAGATTGGCAAACACGTTCCACTTCTTCCTAAACCTATACATTCTTGATTGGCATTGGCCTCCGATGACTTGCATCTCAAATTGTTCCCGCAAACATGTGGCAAGCATATCATAATTCTGGTCGTTTGTCTTGTGATTGTCCCATTTCTTCGTTTGCTTCCACTCAACATAGGTGGTGATGAAGTTGAAATCCATGGTAGAAGTCCACTGCAATTTCTCATTCATCTACTACATATAAGCACACAAATTTTGCAATTAAAAGTTAAAACATGGCAGGTAAATGTGACTAATTCTGCCCCAAAAATTAGTAAATAGAATAGTAGTAGTGTTAAGGGCAAACGTGATTTACATGCTGATTGTAGTTCTCCATACACAGTTGATAGTTATTTGAAGCGATGGATGAGCTAGAAGACTCAAAGGATGTGTAGCTAGTAGGAGAGGCTACAAATAGAAGAATTGATTTCAGTTATACACCATGAACGAATATATGATACTTATAAAGGTTAGAGGGACTTACAATGGGAGTCAATTTTTTGTTTAGCTGCGGTCATTGGCTGAATGAGCAATGCATTGAGCCAATCGAACACATAACAACTCAAATTGCAATACCTATATCCAAAACAGGTGCAACAGATGTCAATTTTTTTTTTACTTTTACTACTGAGCCTACTTTTGAACAAAGTCCACACCAAATATCCGTTCAAGCTAAAGAACGAATACAGCGAAGGAAATTTATTTTCATAAGTCAATTTTTTCATTTTTCGTTATGAGTGTAAGCAGAAATGAATGAATACATTTTAACAGATGCTACAACAGTCTCATTTCTAAGCAACAAAAACAGTAACTTAGTGCCTCTTCAATTTCAATTAACTTTTAAGCAATTTTAGCTTCAATGACCTGGAACAAATATCTGTGCAGAAATAATACCAAACCGTTCCATCTCGCTACATATACATTTCTAGACCTATGGATCTAATATATCAATCTTTCAAGTCTCTTAATTTCTGTTGATAATCGTTCCCTGGCTGCATGCAAATAAATATGACCCCTCAGACACCCATGCCAATCACATCCATTTACAGGATAAATAAATATGGTATAGGATAAATAATTGGACAACCATGCTACCACAGAGTAGCGTGCAATTTATAAACTCTCTATTAGACAACCAAGCAATCTTGAGCCGTTTGGAGATAAAAAAAATAGAGCAACAGTATACAAAAAAATAAAAAAAAATCCGCCACAATTCTAGATAGAATTTACTATCTAGCCTCTCCATTCTATTAGGAGAAAACTGAGCATAATAAACTGCAGCCACTCCCATTGATGTGTAACATGTACCACTGGCAATCAAAATCCTAATACTACCATATGCCAATTAATAAGTAACTGTTCTAAAGCAGATATTCTAACATGGGGAGCTACTAGTGAAACAGCCATTGGTATTGAAATAAATTATTAGCTTTATCCACATAATATCAGAAAAGATTCTATCTAGTTGATTCAACTAATTTGTTTATCTGGCAGCCAAAACACAGAAATAAGTACAGATATGGCCTACTTCGGATTGTTTTTTCTTTCCTTGTGGAAAACGAAATAATGCACTACAATGTGAAATCCGTTGATATGTAATTGTTGGTTAATTGCTTTGCGTAACAATTATGAATAGCAGATCTTTTGTTAGATCCAATTATTTTTGTTGCTAACTGATGAACTTCAGAGAAATCTTTCAAACTCTAGCACCAGGATCCATATTCAAACAAGTTAAACAATTAAAATTATATCCAAAATTTTTAAGGCATCAACAATTAACAGGTCATAAATGACCAACTTAATACAACTACACTGCATAAATGGATCCGCCACTATTTGGATCTAAAAATAGGTTTTTTGGTCTATACTTCATCAGAACATCAGCCCATGACAACAGGTCAAAACATGCAAATCTGGGTCGGTGCAAATTAGTTGTTTCGAAGAGTAACTTCCTAGCAAGCTAAAAAAAGGTCACCTGCTGTGCAGATATAGAAAAGGAAGGCTTCTTGACCCACAGAGAAAATAAAAGTGAAAGATTGAGGAAATACCTTGGATTTAGCTGGAATTTGTCTGCCAAAACCTTTTTTCCTTTGCCGAATTAGCAAATTATCCGTCGATGAAGGCTCAAGATTTGTTAACTGATCAGTGCTTTGCCTTGAATTGAAGAAATCAACTCTTCATCCTATACCATGCGCTTGCCGACAGCTGCGAAAGGTACTTCAGATGCACATGCGTTCGATGGCTATGGATATTTGGTGGAGAGAAACGACTTTAATTCAGTTTTGTAAATGCTCAGCATGTCGGGTGGTTGATTTGTAAAGAGTAAAGCGTCCTGCAGCTTTGTGTGATTTGCACTACGTTGATCTTGATCCCTATCTTTTGATGTTTACAAAACAAATGGATGATACTAATATTTCTTCAAGATATATTTTCAGTTATGAAGTTATTTGATTCCATGATCAAGTACAATTGAAAAATGACAAAGTATGCTGAAACTGTCGGACGCTCAAGATGTCAGGATCGGACGTCCGATAATCATTGCACAACTTCGGACGCATGCTTCGGACGTCCGATAGGATCCTTCGAAGTCGACGAAACTATCGGACCTATCGGACGCTGAATATGTCTCTACCGGACGTCCGATAGAAACAAGATAATTTCTCAAATCTATTTGTTTGCTGTCGGACGCATAAAGAGCTTGCACCGGACGTCCGAAAGAATTGAAGAAAATCTCTGAAACTCACTGCCTGCTGTCGGACGCATAAAACAGGGCTATCGGACGTCCGACACTCCAACGGTTAGTTGACTCTTCACCTACTTTCTATCCGTTGGAAGCTTTAATGAGGCTCTTTCTTGGTCCTATATAAATAGTGGTTGGTCAGATATTTCATATAACTTTGGCACACTGAAGATACAAAAGATCTAGAGAGATTTTATTGAGAAAATACTCCAAAATGAATATTTGTAGTCTTAGTGGTGTGAGGTTCATTGTAAGATTTTCATTTGTGAGTGAATCTTTCATGAGTGTAGCTCTGTGAGGGTTGTCCTGAGGGATAGTAAAACGTCCTGGCTTGACCGAGTGCTGCTTGGGGCAAGGAGGAGGTGAACCTTCCTTTGTACACAAGAGTGATTGTAATTCATCAACTTGAAGTAGTTTGTTTCAATTAATCTACAAGCTCAAGAGGAGTTGGGTAGTTAATTGGTTTGCAATCCTTTCCTTTTTATTTACTTATTGTTTCGTTTATGATCTTTGCATTGGTTGTTTTGGGCCTTACAATTGGTATCAGAGCTTGGTCTCCTAGAGATTAAGCTCAATCGGCTTTGGAGTAAAGATGACAACCAATAATGCTATGTTTTTTGAAGGACATTCTGTTATTAGACCACCTGTGTTTAATGGGTCAAATTATATGAGTTGGAAAAAAAGAATGATTATCTTTTTGCAATCTATTGATATCGAATTGTGGTTTATTATTAGTGAAGGTCCATATGATGCCTCTCTTATAGATGAAAATACTCATGCATCTAGACCGAAAACAAGAAGTGAACTGACTGCTGTGGATAGAGCTCATCTCACCTTAAATGCAAAAGTCATGAATGTGTTATATTGTGCATTAGACTCAAATGAATCTATTAGAGTCAAAGGGTGCAAGTCAGCTAAAGAAATTTGGGACAAACTGAAAGAAATTCATGAAGGTAGTGAGAATGTTAGAGAACAAAAGAAATCCATTCTAGTTACAAAGTATGAATCTTTCAAGATGGAACCTCATGAAAATGTTGATCAAATGTATTGTAGATTCAATGATCTCATTAAAGATTTAGAGGTGCTGGAAAAAGAATATTCTCTTGGTGAGAAAAATAGAAAAATCCTGAATGCCTTGTCCAATGATTGGGAAAATAAAGTGACTGCTATTGAGGAGGTTAGAGATTTGAATACTATGCTTATTGAATCTCTTATTAATTCTCTTACCTCTTATGAGCTGAAACTTAAGACTAAGGTGCAAGAGGAAGAGGATGCAAAAGTGCGAAAGAATATTGCTCTAAAAGCCTCACAAGATGAAAATGATTCTGCCTCCCTAGATGAAGAAGATGTGGAAGGTGATGACAATGATATCGCTCTCATCACAAGAAGTTTCAAACGAATATTCAATAAGAGGAGATTCAGAAATGGTGGACCTAGCAATTCATTCCCAAATCAGTTCAACAACTCGAAAAATAAAGGGAAGCTAGAGTTCAACAAAAAGCAAACTGATCAGTGCTTTGAATGCGGTCAACCTGGACACTATGCAAGTGACTGTCCAGTGATGAAGAAGAAAGAAGGAAGAAAACCAAGAATAAACAAATTTCAATTCACATGGAATGAATGCAATTTCGATGGAGAATTTGAAGAGGAAGATCAATCTGCTCAATTGGCTTTCATGGCCATTGAAGATGATGAGATAACATCTTCTAACTCTCAATTTGAAAGTGATGATGAAGATGATGATGATCTTGAATCTTTCATTATAAAATTGCATGATAGTTTGAAAGAATATTATGTTAGAAACAAGGAGTTAAAACAGAAAATTAGTTTTTTGCTTCGAGATAATGCAAATCTTTTTCAATAAAACAAAAGGTTGAAAGCTGAAAATGATTACTTCAAAAAAAGTGAGACTGCTTTACACTTGGATCTTGATAGAAAAACAAGTTTTTGTGAAATGTTCAAAAGGGAACAAGATGATTTAAAAAGAAGAATGGATGATTTAAATGAATTGCTTCAACATAAAAAAACAGGACTGTTTTGAAAGTAATAAATCAAAACCTCATTTTAAGATAAATTCTGCTGCAAATGAGTTTGCTTTCCATAGGAGAAGACAAGTAAGATTTATTAAACCTGTTCATATAAATAATTCTCTGATTATGTGTAATTTCTGTTATCAAAAAGGTCACATGAAAAGTGATTGCTATGTGAGAAAGAATATAAAAAAAGGCATGAAATGCATGTGGATAGTTAGACATGATGCTAATTTTAACAAGTAGGAGTTTTTGTCTAATCATTGCAGTGATTCTTGTTCAGAATATTTTTTCTTTTGATACTTTGATCTGAGTTTTCGCTGATATCTTTGAATACTACTGAATCTATATGATGTCAAAAAGAAAGATAAAAGAATAATGCTGATCTCATGATGATTTGCTGTTATTGCTGTCATTTCTCT